CGGACCAGCTTGCTTTGCCCAGCAGGAGCAGCAATGCAGTTCTACCCTTAGTTCCTAATCCTGCCCTTGCTCACCAAGCCTGTAGTGGCAAGTCTCAGACATGCAAGTGAAGGACAGCCAGAGATGGTTTTTCGCTTTAAGGTGCAATTGCTCCACTAAGTTGATCAACATTAATCTGATTAACTTTGATGCAGCTTACAGCGTAAGGTAAAAACAAGGCCCTGAAGCTAAAGAGAATAACGTATTCCTTAATGCCACATGCACCTTTTGCCCCTAAAAATTAGTCCTCCAGAATCAGGGTGCATCTTAAGCAAGGATGCTGAATTTTCTTTGCTGGAATATCAGCGGGGAATAGAAGCTGTAGATTCTGTTGGTTCTCAAAATGGCTGCCTCTTCTCAGGCCCCGGAGGGGCCAGCCCTCTGTGCCTTGTCGCTATCCTGCCATACCAAGAAGTTCCTGCTGCCCAAGTCGCAATGTCTTCTGGGATGCCATGCAGTCAGCTGTGACTGGCAAAAAAAACCAAAACAAAAAACAAAAAACCTCTCTCCATTCTGCCTTCTAAAAATAAGATATTTGGGGGCATGTGGTACATGAGAAAATATGAGAGTAATGTGCCTAAGAAAAATAAGCTGATGATAATGTGCACTTATTCGGAGGCTACACAGTAGTGCAGATGCTGCACTGATAACACCGTGTTTTGCCTAGATGCCAAGATGTAGAAACTTACAGGAATAGCAAAAAGTAAAGATTGTTGTGAGGAAGGTCAGTAGCCAATCCAATTGGCATAACTGACTAAAAGAGAAGCAACCAGATATTCAAGACAAGTTAGACCTATAAACAAGGCCCTCGGTTGGCCAACTACACGTTGGGCATCAAGTTCTGAGAAACATGGCTGGATGCGTCATAACACGAGTAAATCCTTCTTAAAGTCCATCACTGCTGACTGTACCAAGCACCTGTCCCTAGCTTTTCAGCTTCAACCCCGGTCAACAATAAATCCACTTCCCTTCTCAAACTATACTCCCTTTCCACTGCCAGTTCACCTCAGACTAAGGTAATCCCCCTATTTGCTTTCACCCCCTTTCAATTGCTCCCGCCACAGATTGGGCTGCATTGGTCACAACATGGGTTCACCTAATGAAGCATGAAGTGCATTCATACTGTGCCTCTCATTTAAATAGCTTTTCCCCCACTCAGCTATAGCCGGAGCACAAGAGATGAAAAATAAAGCAATAGACGTGGTTAATAAGCAACTAAACCTTTTCATTAAGACCCCCTTTCACTAGAGCTAGTGGAGGCAATTCCCCCACTATAGGTTGCCTCAGAGCACTTTGTGACTTTTAAACTTCGAAGGTTGCAGATTTAAATCAGGGTTAAGCAGCAAGGAGACTTTTAAAATAAACATTAGAGGCTTAAATTTAGGCTTCATTTGAGTCCTGCTCTCTGCTTCATTTGCTTTAACTGTGTTCCTTTCTAGTCTAGTATCAGACTATCTAAATGAAGCTCCTTAAGTAATTCTGGGGCATGAAGGAGTGGGTCATTTTTTTTTTTTTTTGTAAAAAGGCAATTAGGTCATTCCCAATTAACATGAAAATTAACTTGGACAATGACTTAACACAATGGACCAAGGGGACACAACTCGCCAGAAGTCAATGAAATCGAGTGAAAATCATGACAAAGTATATGCAAAGACCATTCTGTTGGCCCAAACTTAATGGAGATGGACTGATTTGGGATGCCTCTACTTTTGGGACATAATAGGGCCCTATTTTCACAGACCAATGCTCTGAAAATTAGATCCCTTTAAAGTGCTTCAAGTTGGCTGGGCAGCTAATCAAATGAAGAAAACTTAGGTTTTAGATGTGCTAATGGTTGGAAAATTGAAATACATTTTAGGTTAAAAACAAAAGCACACACAACTTCCTTTAATAAGAAAAAGTATATATATTATATACAAAGTAATTAATGGATTTAAGACCCAAAATAGTCTGGGATAAGTGTAAAAGAGCCAGGCACTTTTTCAGTGTTACTGGCCATGAAAAAATGTTTCCTTGAAGGCTCATTCCACAGTTTTAAAGGCCAATCTAACTTAAAAAAAAGGTCAGACAACAGGTCTTGAACTCATACTTTAAATACCAAGCATCAGATGATGAGTTTTGCTTTAGCTTCTTACCTCATTGCTCACTAACACATGGATCCCTGTTGGTCCCTGCCGATAGATCCGGTTGATCTGCTGTGTAGAAATGCTGTACAGGTTTGCAATCTTCTCCATTAACTCCAGGGTTGTCAACTCTTCTAAGAAGATTGCATGATACACTGAAATAATTTAAAAAGACACCAGCTTTTAGCCATATGACTGAGAAACTAAATCCCTCCTTGAGAAAAATTAAGGGCCAGGTCCTGAACTAGCTTGAATGTGTGGACATGCCCAGACTGACTTAATTAAAGTGCTTTAGGTAATGTGCATTAAATCTAGTACCTCCATTGTGAGGTGCTGGAAAGATGCCTTTAGCCTATTTTAATGTGCATTAGCTAAAGAGCACATTTTTTGTGATGCTTTAATGCACATTAAAACAGGCTAAGATGCATTAATGCACACATGTGGACGCGCTCTCTATCACCTTTGTACTGCAACCAGTTGATATCAACTGGAGGACCTAAACCAAAAAGCCCAATGTTTGAATGTAGACAGTAGCCAACAGCTGAATCAGCTTTGCCAGGAGAGAAAAAAATCCCTTGAGGACTTTTAACAAAACCAAAAGGGTTACACGACATGACAAAGTCACCTTAGTAAGAAGCAAGTTAAAACTCTGGGGCATGTGAGAAAATCTTGCGACTGCCGACTCCATTCTGGCACTCTTGGCTGCCTCTGAAAAGGTTGGTGCTACAGGAAGGTAAATGAATTTCTATATTAAGAAAAGCTACCTAATATCACTTTATAGGCCATTTCATTCCTAGATCTCAAAACATGTGAGAATTTAATGCCATTATCCCCTTTTTCCAAGTGAGGCCTGGGGCAGTATGGCATTAGCCCAAGGTCATGCATTCAATTGGTGATGCAGCCACAATAGGCACGGAGAGACGTGGACTCTAGTCTTGTACCCTGTCCTCTACATTGTACCACTGTCAGGCATTTCTATGCATGCTCCATTCTCAGGTCACGTTTGTTTCCTTCAATCTAAACTAAAATGAGAATTGCCTGAGGTACAATGGCCACCATCAAACCATCAATGTCTATTAAGTGGTGTTATACAAGATAAGCATGTTACTTTGTTTTAAGCATAGGCAACAGATTTAGTAACCCAGACGTATATCAGTGGTAACTTGAAAATGCAGACTTTAAAATTGGATCCACTGTATCACTTCATTATGCATTTGTAGAAAAGCTAATACTTCATTTGCAAAGCCTTTTAAAGCATTTCCAGTATCAGTCCTTCACCTCTGTGGAGAAGCACATATACAAAGATAATTGCAGCCAGCCAGACATCATAAGATTTGAAATTTGTGCTTATGAAAGCTGCCACTTTTTCATCTTCCATAACGTGACATGGTTTAGTTTTTCATTTAGAATTAGAATTAATCTAGTGAGTTTTCTACAACTGCTGTACAGTGGGTGTGTCTACACATGTGCATTTACTGCGCAGTAACCAAAATGACTATGCAGTACAGGTGTGCATGTCTACACATGCATGCCCATACTGCACAGTAAATATGACTACTTATCTCAATTTGAGTGTAAATTTGTTACCTGCATGTTGCAGATATCAAATTTATGCCTAATTAGTTACTGCGCAGTAACATGTGTGCGTGGACTGACTTGAGACCAAGTCAGTCCACATACTGAGTTAATGCACTTTAATGCCAGCACATGTAGACACCAGCCTATTCCCACTTACTCCACAGTAAATTTAAGCCAGCATAAATGCATGTGTAAACACACCCGGTGTGTTTGATTTCTCAGTGAAAAAAAGCAGCAAAATAAAAAGATAGCTCCCCTATCCAATACCTGGTTTCAGCTTCTGTATTAGAGTTTGAAAACTCTATTGCTTGAAAACTCTTAACACTTAAATGAATGAGATCTAGTCTTGGAGGCATCTCAAATGGCTTCAGACATTTTAAACTTCCTGTGTTCAATCTATGAAATCCAGGAGACTGGACAAGCACCTGGCTGGAGCTGTCTGACCCCAGCGCTCTTTCCTCCCCAGGGCAGGGGGTCAGACTCGGTGACTTACTGAGGTCCCTTCCAACCCCAATGTCTATGAATCCATGAACCCTGGTTTAAGGCTCTTGAAGATTTGCAGGCTACGTGTTATATCCAAGATACTTTAAACCTCCACCTGGTTCTTTCATGTGCGTTGTCACTTAGAGCAAGCTAATGAGGATGGACTGTTATGCGTCTCAACTTCATTTGTGCAGACAAATGATTTTGTAGTCCTTGATTTGATGTGCCTCTGCTAGAAGGACAAGTCTTGCACTGAAATCCTACATGGAGCCCTAGACAGATTTTAAAATGCAGCTTCCTCAGAGGAGTGATGAAGACTATTGCTCTTACTAGCTTTTTAATCTATGGTTCTAGGGAGTTCAGGTATTTCAAATCTCATGCTTGTACTGCACGGTAAACTGGAAAAACCAGCAAAAAGCAGCAGCATTTGTGACCAAAAAAGGATGAAATAACATTAAAAAAAACACTCCACTCCAGTGAAGATGGAGAGCTTAATTCACTCTCAGTTTAGGGCAGCACTGAATGATAAAAAGAATGGAGCTAGCACCAATTTAAAAGAGGCCACAATCTTCTTGCCATCCAAGGGTTTTGCAGAAGTTTCAGTAGCTCTCCTAGCAAGTACAAAGCTGACTGGGAAGAAAACTCTGCAAGAATCATTGGGAAGAGAGAAACTATGTAAGTTTCAAATCCCGTCCCTATTGTGGCAGTCCCCAGGCATGGCTCTTACAGCAGCCGGAGGGTAGCACAATGCTGATACCACTGCCTACCCTGATTCCACTTTAAAAAGTGAGTTGCCTCCTGGGCAGGCAGCATTCAGTGTGGGCTTCCCTTGCAGGAGCCCAAGAGCCAAGTAGAACAGGGATGAATTGGGCCCATTATTTACAGGGAGCTTGGAAACAAGGCACCGTTCTCATTAGATGAGCAGGTGGGCCAACCCATGTGTGGCAACTTACCGCACAGATTACTGTCCCCATTCTCCCGTTTGTGATGAGACCTGTTCTGCTCCGGTTCCTGACAGACATAAATTGTCATCTTAGGCCTTACATTCCTGTAGGCAAAAACAAAAATATATAGTGATAAGTCTTCATGACAAGTACTGTGGTGTTGCTCTGAGCAGGTCCTCACACTGAGAAAAGACACTCATATGGCTCCTGGGACTGGTTTGGGTATCGCAGAAACAAGCAGCTCCGGGGAACCTTAACACTACACTGCAGGGCACCCAATACCCCAGTGTTCGGGGAAAGCCTGAGACTGCTAAGCATCCCCAGCTCCTATGATGCATCTAAGAGTTGACAGTGCCCAGTGACTTGTAGGAGGTTTGCTCTACCTTAGAAAAACGAGGCCTGCATTTACTGGCTTCAATCCAGCCCAGCTAAGTAATGTGTCACTGCTCCTGACAATGTTTTGGGGGATATTTGTGAGCTTGGTCCTTTTAAATCATTCCCTATCTTAGCAGAAAGCTAGGGTGAAACATAGGTACAACGTGGCAGGTGGAGTAGTGTCTTCCCAGAACCAAACTGGGGTCACTGATTCCAAATAGACTTCTGAAGAGGCATATTAGATTCATTTTTTACTTTTAACTGACATGAGCTAGGCAGTATTCAGACTGAAGCTTAGACTTGCATATGCAAACCATTAGGAACCGGTTTCTGAGATGACCCGCTTTGAGCCAGTCCCTTTGAGTTCAGTGAGCTCTGGAAGAGCTAAAGGATGCTGCAGTAGTCCTATATGAAAGTGATGGGTACGCACCTTCCTTTGATTGCATTAAAAAGCCGAATTCCATCAGCAGGGCCACAGATCTGAACAAAGTCTTCTTTGGACATCTTTAGTAAGTCAGCACCTGCACGTGGCAAGGGGAAGATTCAGACATTAACCTAAAAGCTTCCATCTACAGAGTCGAGTCAGACTGACTTGTAAAGAGATATCAGATGAATGGTTTATATTCAAGACATGCCCATCATGGGCAATCCCCGAGAAAACAAAATCTAAGCAGCAGTGATCCAGAGGACATAGCCATGTTGGTCTAATGCCTACAACCTACACCCCTGATACAGAGGAAGCATTTAACTGATACATGACAAGCTAGAATGGAGTCACTGGTCAACAGGCTCAAATCTGCTTCTGCTACAAATCGAAAAGCCCTTTAATGAGCAGCTCCAAACACAATTTGGCCATTGATCCCTTGTGGCCCTTGATGATGAACGCAGATAATGGCTAGAAAACATTCTGCCGCAAAGGAGTATTTAAAGAAATGTCATGTTGAATGTTCCTTCCCTTGAACGACATGGGAGAAACAAGTTACAGCAAGTGAAATGGGAAGCAAGGGACTCACTGGACATCACTATCCACATGCTTCCCATGAGCAGAGGGAAAGCTGAACCGTGATAGTTTACCCCTCAATGGAAGAGGATAAATGGCCATGGAATAGCTTTCCCTTACCACAAGGGAAAAAGCAGGTACATTGCTTGTTATCACGGATCTGCTGACTGGCTGTAACTGTTCATACCTTAGAAGTATTCAGTTCCTCCAAGGCCAACTTTGATGGAAATAAACTTTTCAGGTTTTAGGTCAGAAGCTAGAATTTCAGCAACCAAGATTTTCCAAATTAAGCTGCCTGAAGTCAGATTCTCAGATCCATATTTCAGCGTAAATAAGCAGCTCAATTGCCAGAAGTACCAAGTATTCAGCTAATCCCACCAATAAAACTAGCCTCAGCCCTTCCATTCTCCAAGCCTTAGTTACTCTTTCTAAAGATTCCTCCGGTCTCATACTCACAATTTGCTTTGGCGAATGCTGGCAAGATGGAAAGCATGAGCCATGCTTGTAAACAGAAAAACGAAAAAAATCTAACCCCAAAAAACCATGATCATATGGAGCCTTTAAAAACTCACCCGAAAAGCTGGAGAAGAGTCTACAGAATGGAGAGAACCTATTACGATGAAGCCACTGCTGGGCATCTTGAATAGAAGCAGAGGGAAGGAGATGCTACATTGCAAAAAGAATAAGAGGGTCTTGAAATGAACTGTTCACCAGTGTCCTAAAAAAGAAAAGCACCACATTAACATGATCTCAAATACTTACATCATTGCTGGGAGGCAGGAACTCCACTTGGTGGGTTGGAGAACTGTTGCTAAACGTTGTATAAAAGTTGGGAGAGAAAAAATATGATTTTAAATTTTACATTAAAAAATAATTTTTTTAAAAAAGTGCTGGTCGTCTTCCCCCACTCTCCCTTGTCTTGCCCCGCAGTTTCTTATCCACTTGGCATCTCTTCTCCAGATAGAAAGTGGATACAGTTAACTTGATACCAATTCTGTAGCAAATTGCTACTGGCTTTACCTTTCTTGCTGCTTTTCAAATGCATATGAAAAGCAAGTGGATGTCTTCTAACCCACCCAATCCAGTCATCTTTAGAGGGAAGAAATGGGCATATCAGATCCAATAACTCTGCTCCTATGAAATTAAGTCCCCAGTAGCCTGGCAAAAATCTTATGATTTTGATCTTAGCAAGACAGGTGTGAAATAAACCCGAATCTTAACCCTGATCACATCTCCCTTTTTGGGCACAAGATTTCTATTGGCTTTGGCAGGGCTGGCAGCAGATGCCCCACCATTTTTCTGCAGCAAAGTGATTTGATATCACAAAACACTGAAGTGCACTTCTGCAACTTTCCGCAGGCTACAGGTTCAAGCTGGTCCATCAGAGCGAGTCACTATTGTAAAGCCATTCACTAAGAGAGGATGATTTGCCATTGTGGGCCGGGGCAAACATTTAACAAATTTCAATGACTGGTTGTGGGAATTTGCTTGAGCAAAAACAGAGCAATGATCTGATCAGATGGTAGTATTTTAAAGGAGGACAAATAGTGTTTGAACAGAGTTAGTACAGACTGGTTTCCAAACATGCTTTATCCTCTAGTGTGGACAGTGCTTTAAAACAAACCAAGATTGGCCCACAGAGCTAACCATTTATCTCTGAATGAAAAAGGAGTTCTCAGAAGAGATATCCAAATCTCCCTTCTATCTACACCAGGAGCTTAAGTTATTCGGGGAAAAGCTAATATAATGCTCACTTCCATACCGTGAACTTTAGCTTTATCTAGCTCTACTAGATATGTATTATCCAGCCCTATGACCCAATCCTAACCTCCCTGCAGGAAAAAACAGAGCTTTCATTGACTTCTTATGGGGGGGGGGGGGGGG